CAGACTTAATACAATTTTGATTTGATTTGATAATTTCTTTTCTTCTTCTTTTTATTTTATTTTATTTTTTTTGAATAATTCAATCTCAAGCAGCATTTATAAATTGCCTATACCTAGCGAGATTTACAATTGTACATTAAACACAAATAAAGTTTCCATAATTGTAGTGTCCTTCGCGTGATTTGACTTTAAGAAAGACATGATTAACAATTAACCCACTTTTGTGAAACAACATCAGAGACGAAATCCGCTGTCAATACTAGATACATACAGAAGGGATATTGACATAATCCGTTCATGTGCACTTTGTGTGATCATCGCCTCGCTCCAGTTCAACACAACATCAACGACTATAAAAGAGCTATAGACGAAGTGCTCTACACAGTGTAATTTTGGACTCACAAACCTTTACAAGTGAAGCTTTACCTGCAAAAACTCTCAGCAAAATGCCTGCATCAGGAAAGGTAAATATTTCATTAAGTTGTTATTTTTTTAAATGCGGTCACCCGTTAATACGGCCAACGGCCACATTTTAAAATCTCAAACGGAAGAATCTTTTATAATTTCACCCCGTTAATACGGCCACTCGTTCGAAATTTAGAAAATTAAAATGCTTGGGCCTATCTTCAGTCTCTTGCCTCAGTGTATCTTGTAATGTTTTTTCAGTAGACTACAGTACACCTAAAACGCATTTGTGACGGTTTAATAGTCATGTACTGAAGGAATGTTTCAACCAGTTTTCACAATTACTGTACGCGATATGATGGGCTCCTGGCGATATCTAAAACATTCCGGCTGTTTATTAAAGAGAACAGTTATTCAAGAAGTGCGAAGGCGATGCAATGTTTTATTACACTGTTCCGGTAATAGCCACCCTGTTAATACGGCTAATTTGTTTTTTTGACCCATTGGTGACCCTATTAACTGAACGGGGTCTCACTGTATCATATAGTTGGTTGGCCTAAACTGCGTTCGAAGAACATAATTCAATCCGAGTCTTTCCTATGTTTTTGTCATTATTATATTTATCTTCATTCTTTTATTCTTTTATTATATTTTTTATTCTGGCTTACCCCCAAAAAAATTTCTATTGGTTCTTTCAACAGCTTCTGCAATTGTTCAAAAGTGTATACAAACTGTAACGCAGATTATTTTAACAAAAAACAAAGATTTAAAGAATTTGTTCTTTAATAAATACATATATTTTTCAGAAAATTGTCCAAAGCGAAGGGCCTACACGTCCCATAAATGGCGCTCCAAGAAAAGATGATGACAATGAAGGTAAAGATGGTCTTTTCTCTTCTGGAATTTTTTCAAGTAAACAAATCAACGCAGTGACTTTTTAGGCGTAACGCGGAATGAAACAAAAGAGACGAAATGTTAATCCATCAATATATCTAGCCGATTCTTTGCAAAATTTGCAGCCACTTGAGTCGAAAAAAGACCAAAAGGCGGTTTCTTTTTTTCGTTTCGTTTTCCTGGTTTTGTTTTTTGTTTTGTTTTGTTTTCTTTTTTTTTTCGCTCAAAGAGCGATAAGGAGGAGAAGAAAAAAAAGCAATGGTCACAGTCTTAGATTCTATATTACTTTGGAGATATTATTTTGGCTGAAGAAGAAACTGTCTGAGGGAAGAGGTCTATTTATAGGTAACGTTTTCAAAAATTCGGCTAGATATAGAAATGTGAAACTGATATAGAATCATTTTTCCCCTTTTTTCATCCTTGTATCATTAGTATTATTTTATCTTTTCAGGCCAGCTTCTGTGTAGAGATTTTAAGATCCAGGTGCTTCCTGCAGCCTTCTATCTGAATGAAAATGTCAATTTTAAGCAAAATGCTTCAGGAAAAATGAGCCGAGAAGGTTG